TGGTAGAATAATATATTTGTTCATACATGAGTAGAAGTACAAGATGTAAGCCTTCTATGGAATAAAGTTTTGTTTTATACACTGATGCCGTTCGTTGACTTCATCATTGCGTGCTGATGACGTCAGCAGTGTGAATAGTGTGCTGGCATATGCTAGCATAAAAGGTTGTTCCATTATAATATGTTTTACACTTTGGCGTTTTACTCATAGACCCATTGAAACCTTAAACGATACAGTTCGTAACTGGTTAGATGGAGATCTCATACTTCCCAGACGGCGCCATTTGTCTTGCCATTGTTTAATCGAATTTCATGATGCTGTACTGATTTCCTTTATAGTGCCATCGATAGGAGTCGTTCATTTATGAAAGCTGCTTGTGCGGCTATATGGCAAGCACAGCATGTAATCACCCATTTTTTGTGATACGCACTGTCACTGATTTCTTTACCTTGGAAAATGAAAGAATTACCCCCAGTCAGAGCTACAACTGCGATATTTTGGCACTCAAGCGATTGAGCTCTATGCTTGTAGCACCTTTATCAGATAATTTTTTCCATCAGGAATTTCATTTGCCTGACTTATCGGACATCACAAAGATAAACGTCATCCCTACGTTTCCTGTCACTGTTAGCCAATGATTTGTGGCGGGCCCATTATTTGCTGCGGTGGCTAGCCAGTTCTTATACGAGGATTCGTTTGTGATTTGTCGATGAATGCGACTCAGTTCTAACTTAGTCAAATCGTTCGTCATGGATTACAGTCAGCTTTTTAACATGCGTCTTGTTTTACATCCTAATTTTGTCATGCTACAAACTATGAGGTAGATAGCTCGCCATTTCATCTACTTGCTGCGCCACCGGAGGCTGTAAATTTTAGTATTCTGGTTTCTTAAAAAGACAGCAGATGTTGACTAGTTTTTTGCATGGTGCAGATCCATTTTTCCTGCAGAAAAGTACTATCGTGGAATACTTTCACACACCTTATAATATAAAACTGGTGCAAAAAGAAAATTACGTGTGATACTTGTTCTTCGTGTTTTGAGACGAATAACGTGGCAGAAAGTTGCCAGTTTAATTGTATTGTTTTTTGTTGGGTTCTTCAAGAAGTAGTGGTGTAGCAGTCACGGATTCCCTGTTCTTTATTACATTCAATAAGGTCGTGTTGTGCGATGGCCCCACATAAGTTGTTGTCTTCCCATTGATTTCACTGCCTTCATTCATTTTTGTCACCGACTTTTGGGCACTTGGCGTGAAAGCTCGAGAAACTTCGATTCGCTGTAGTTCTTAGATTTTGCATTTTCGGTCTTTATCCTCTGTTTTCTGCTCGAATACAGGTTATTGTGATCAGTTTCTTCGTAGTTCATTACTGGCACTGCAGTCAAGCAAGCACGGAGCAGCTAGTGGTGTAGTTGCTGTAAGACCGATTTCACGGAGGTGTAGAACTGAAATGAATCATAGATAGTCATGCCCTGCAGTCGGTGTGTAAATCGGGGATAGAGGCTTCATATCTGGATTGTATGAGAGCCGAGCTGCCACCCACTAGAGCTTGGTGTCCAGTCCTGCTGAGGAACTTTCCTTTCATACATTTGAAGTGGAATAATTAGTTGCACTCTGTGAGAAGCAAGCACAAACGAGAAAGCTGCAGATTTTAGCTAATAAATAGCTTGGAAGACGAATGATGCCTGAAGCTGACAGGAACTGGGAAAGTTCGTTTAACGATTTTGCAATGCCACTCTCTAGGTAGTTAATAGTGCAGCACTACTAACTACTAGGTAGTTAATAGCGCAGCACCAATCTCCATTTCTTTTGTATTATCCAGAGGTTATATCTGCAATTTTGTGAGCACTGTAGCGTGTAGTCTCGTTTCTTTCCCACAGTATGATGCCATTTATCCCTCTCAGGATATTCTCCTGGATAAGAGAATTGATCGATGCTTGAATCCATGTTCTCTGAATCTGTACATCCTATGCTTTACCGACTAAACAACTTCAATATGTGCAGAAATGACGCCTTCCTGAAAGTGTTCAGGTGCCCTTACCCTAACATATACAAAATTTGCTTTCCTTTCTTTTTTCATTTCTCATTAGGTGTGGAAGATGTTAGGAACACAACTGATGTCAACTGAAAATAGGCATTTGTGAACTTGGCCAAAGGTTTTGTAGTAAATTGAGCTGGAGTTCAGCTTACAGAACTCGGAACCTTCGCTCGACAACGCTAACGTATTATTTAATAGTGACTCTTCTCAGTGCTGCCTGTACTTCTGAGTCTTGATGACTTCAGTTGTGCCAAACACGTACGTTTGCATTTAAAGGTCGTAAAAAGAAAAGTATTTATGTTCTGCACCGCTGTTTTAGTTTCGCCAAATCTTGCCCCGATTTAGACAAAGATAGATGATAAATGCTGCATTTCATTTGCTGATATCGGATTTACGCCACGCAGACGTACCTTATTGCTTGTTGTCGCCAAGAAGGAGCAGTTGAGATCTTTTTTGGCTCGACAGTATTTGATATTTAAGGACATATGGTGCTTCGGATGTATTTACACATGTCTGAAATTGAATGTAAGTCGCATCCATACGATTGGTGCCGTGACCATCCATACGCATGGTGCATGACCTACTTTAAGGTCCATAGACGTCTAGCAGCAGGGAGCAGCGCGTTTTCGTCGTGTATGCCGTGTAAATCTTATATCAGTTCTGTATTATCTACTGGCAGGTTTTGAACGCTGCTATTTGTGGAGCTTTCCCAGGATATCGGGTATATTTTATCTTGTCTTGTCTGTATATTTACCTACGGATAATGAAAAATTTTGTGATCGAATATACCCTTATTCAGCTCAAAGACCCTGCCTTGCATCTGATGCGGTGCAGGCGCTTAAATTCCATGAAATCGTAACTTCCTTAAATGGTACCCCTAATCGATTAAATGCAAGGTGCAGTGCGATTTCGCCGTCTAAATCCAGTATCACTAATTGAAACATAACTAGCGATTTATTCTTGCTTTGGGCGCACTTGTACAGTCGTTCTCATTACTTTTAAAATAAAATCCTGCATTACTGCTAACCGGCCATTCGCCATTAAACATGTGTATGGTTCTTTCAAATTGGTTCTTTCAAATAATACTTCTACTTGAGAATGAAACAGACTTTGAACGAGGGGAGAAAATATTTCATCTTTTCACAATCTGTCACCAGATCACTAGGGCCTGGTTGAGTGGCCCTTTGTGAGTCCGTTACCGGCCTTCATATTTGTCTAGATTGCGCTCATCATGTGCGGTTCACTGTGCTGCATCCGTGCTTCGCGACATAGATAAATGAAGAGCACTTT